TATTCAAGGAGGAGCATGAGACAAGCCCAGACAGAAATATTTTACAAAACAACTTGCCTGTGACCTTTTTTTATTTTCCTTGAGAAAGTGTCTCCCTATGTAGTTAGCCCAGGCTGGCCTCAAATTTGGAGTGATCCTCCTGCCTCAGCCTCCTGAGTGCTGGGATCTCAGGCATATGCCACCATACCCACCCTTGCCTGTAATGTTGAATCTTGTTAACATCAGAAAAGGAAAAAAAAAAAAGGCAAGGAAATTGTTATATAATGAAGACTAAAGAGACATGCTATATATATGATTACTCTGGTCCAGCAGACTAGATTTTGTATCTGAGGGAGGAGCTAAACATTAAACAATATAATTGAAACACCTCACGAAATTGGAATACGGATCACTGATTAAAGTATCATATCAGGGCCGGGGATATAGCTCAGTGGCATAAGTGCGGCCTGGCAAGCACAAGGTCCTGAGTTTCAATTGCTGGTTATCCCCCAAAATAAATAAAGTATTATATCAATGTTAAATTTAATGAAACTGACAAATATACCATGGTTTTTGTCTTTACTTTTAGGAAATACACATTAAAGTATTAAAACATTAAACTAGTATGATATATACAAACTAATGGTTAATGATTCAGGAAAAATACATATATAGCTAAAAACAGAGGAAAATAGTAAGAAAAAAATGATAAAACTAATGTGATAAATATTGAGGATATTGACGAATTCGGGTAAAGGACACATGAGTGTTCTCTGCATTCCACAAATCTGAAATTATTTCCATATAGAAAGTTTAAAAATCTAGATAGAGTAGATGTGTACTTTTATGTAGATTAAAACTTAAATAGTAATAAATTCATTTAAAAAGAGACATGGAAAAGTGTACCTTCACAAAAAAGGAACGTATGTCTTACCCCAGTAGTTGCCACAGGAAGTGGATTGGCTGTGTACAGGCTTCTTTTTCCATCATATACTGGTCTACGGTCTCCAAATATAGTTACTTTAAAATGCTGAACCATTGAGTCAACTACCTCCCTAAAGAAGGAAAAAAATTCAAGTGATCTTCTCAAGATGAAATACAAAAAAGATTAACTGAAGTAATTTCTGGTACAGTATACAGCCATCAAATTTTTAAAAATATTCATTCATACATGATAAAGGTTTTGCTTTCAGAACCACGGCTTAGGATAGCAAAAAAGGCTGACTGCTGCTGGCAAAGGATGACATGTATTTCCCAAAGACAGAGAATAATGAATCCAGTATATTAATCGTTCTGGGACACAACTGAACTGCAAAATATTCTCTTTAGAAACTGACTCCAAAATCTCTTTCATCAGCTCAAAGCATTCCCTTACATGTTCACCTCTCTTTCTTGAAGAAAAAGATGAATGCTCTTTCTATTTTGCTAAAATAGTTCTTAGTACTAATAGAGAATAGTGTTCTTTACTAGAACTCAGTCTGTTGCATTATAATTATTATTTACTTCATTACTACTATGAGTTTCTTGGGAGCAACAAACACCTGCATTCCTTGTACTTCCCTATCCTTAAAACTGTATCTAACAACAACAACAAAACAAAAAACAAAAACCCAAAACTGTATCTAGTCTGTAAAGATACTATGAAACTTCCATTTTTAACCAGCAAACTGTTTGATCCAATATACTCGGGGAAAGATATCAAGACTCATACATTTTTAAAAAAATTGACCATAGAGAATGATACCAAACATCTACAAATGAACATTTATATCTATACACACATATTCACATAAGCAGTGAAAAGATATCTGGAAAGCTAAGTGCTAAAAAAGATAATAGTGCTGCCAGGCATGGTGGTGCACACTTGTAATCCCAGCACTGAGGAGGCTAAGACAGAAGGATCACCATGAGTTCGAGGCCAGCAGGGGCAACACAGTGAGTTAGAGATCAGCTGCACTACATAATAAGACCTGTCTCAAAACAAAACAAGACCAGACCAGACCAGATGAGATGCAAGCAGACTCTCTCGAAAAGAACATGAGAGGGTTACAGGGTAACTTTTGTTTATACAACCTAAATATATTAGCCTGAGAATAGTGTCACATAGTATCGATATGATTTAAGGTGAGATTAAATGAATCAAATACAACCCAGGCAAGCAGGGAAGGAGGAGAGAAAAAAAAAAATTTTCTAGAACAAAAAAAATCAAGCTGACTTGATACACAGAGCAACTTTCTAGATGACACAAATTTCTCCCTCCTTTTTCTTTGTCTTACTAAACCTATGTTTAGTAGATCTTTCTGGAGTAATTTTGACAACAAAGGTTTGCTTTACCTGTCAGTTCTTGGATTCAAAATAAAGTTCAATGATTTTCTGCCATTTTTTCTTTCTTTTTTTTGTGACCATTATAACCAAGGCCAGTTTCTCAGGTGTAATTACTGAGATCTAATTTGTCTAGAATGTTATGACTATTTTGTCATTTTTAAAGTTAACACTAAACTTAAACTTACTAATTCCTGGCAGCCCAATCAAACCAATGTTAGCTATTAACAATGTCCATGTATTTGTTGAACTGAAACCAGTAATTTGGTATCAAATTAATCTTCTTTTAATCTTATGGTTTTATACTTTTGAAATGCTGTTTAAATGTTGGAGGAGACTGAACTGGTAGGCAAAAAACATTTTAGTGATTAAAAAAAAAAGCTTTGTTTTGATAACTTAGTATACAATATGTCCTCAATAAATATTCTAGAGCCAGTTGTGGTGGTGCACATCTGTAATCACTGCACTTGGGAGGCTGAGGTAGGAGGATCGTTGTGAGTTCGAGACCAGACTGGGCTACAAAGTGAGCTCAAGGCCAATCTGAACTGCATAGTGAGACCCTATCTCAAAGAAAAAAAAAAAAAAAAAATTCTAGAGAGGATAATTTACTTTGATGAGCTGCCAGAACCTCTAAAGGAATGTATCTAAAGTTGAATTCAATATATTTTCCCTAAACTGAATCTAGTTTTCTTCTGATTGTTGCTCCTGTTTAATTAATGGTGCTTCCATCCATCTGCTTACCCGGATTCAAAATCTGTCTCATTTCCTTACCTCATTAGTTGTTTTTTTGTTTTTTAATAATTTTTTACCTCATTAGTTGTTGACTTCACCTCTCTGCAATATTTCTTACAGCAGTCCTTTACTTTCCATTCCTAATTAACATCATCTTAAATAAATACTTCAAATCCTAGAACTTGGATTATTTCTTATAAATTTCTGGGTTTTTATGTCCCTAGTTTTTCCTTCTCATCCTAATTTATAAGACCACTGCCAACTAAGTTCCTCATCATGACTTTTATTGCTTAGGTAAAAAATGCTGAGTTTATCATACTTCTCAGTTTGTGGCATATTATCAACTCTTTAAGACCCTTTTTACAACTATTTCCATTTCCTATTTCCCACTTCAAATGAACATCTTCCTGTTTGTATGTATTCCTGTTTGTATGTATTTCCCACTTCTTGATGAACATCTTCCTGTTTGTATGTATTCCTACTTTTACCTTTCTTCCTTCCTTCCTTGTAGTATTGAGAGTTGAACCCAGGATGTAAGTAATGAGCTATACACAAGCCCTTTAAAAATTTTTTTTTTTCGTTTTAAATTCTGAGACAGAGTCTTGCTACGTCACGAAGTTGCTCAGGCTGGGTTCAAACTTGTGATCCTCCTGCCTCAGTCTCCTAGAGTGCTGGGAATACAGGCATGTTTCACTATCCCTGGCCCCTAGATCTAATTTTTAATAGTTAACAATACAATCTACAGTACATGAGAGTATTTTAATACAAGCTATCATTGTAGTCATTTCACATGTGAATTTTTTTTTCCAACTAGACTGTAAATTTCACTTTGTGTTAATTCTTATAATCCTATATAACCACACCACTGTAACAAACATTTCTGGTGCGGTGTTCACAAATAACCGACAGATGACTCTGAAGTTTTTGAGAAAAAAACTCATTATGCTAACAAACCTTCTGTAGAACACACTTCAGGCCAGTGCCATTTTTTTTTTTTTTTAAATTCATTTATTTTTGTCTTTTTGAGACAGGATCTTGCTATGCAGTTCAGGCCGGCCTTAAGCTCCCTTTGTAGCCCAGGCTGGTCTCAAACTCACAACAATCCCCCTGCCTCAGCCTCCCGAATGCTGGGATTACAGGCGTGCGCCACGATGCCCAGAGCCAGTGACATCTTAACAGCCAGGTGTAGTAGCCTCTTTTTAGCATTTATACTCCTGGCTTCTTTTTAGCATCTGCTACTGTGATCAAACCTTGCTCCTTGAAAATTACCATCCTTACCTTGCCTTTCTGAAGTCGCTACTACTTTGTCCTGGTTTTCTTATCTTTCTAATTTCTTTGTCTTCCAAACCAGAAATCATAGTATCCCCAGAGATCTATTATCAATCCTCTTATCTTGACTTTACATATTTCCCTAGTTTTCAACTATCACTTCCATACTGATAAGCCTCAAATCTCAATCTCCATTTTGACTTAACTCTTGAGTTCTTGGCACTTGTTTTCAATAGCATCTTATTTATTTATTTTGCTTTTTGAGACAGGGTCTTCCTATTTTAAGGGTGGCCTCAAAACCTGTGGTGATCCTCCTGCCTCAGCCTCTCAAGTGCTATGATTACAGGTGTGTACCATCATGCCTGGCATCCAATAATATATACTGCTGTTCCATTTTCATTTTTCTTTTGCAATTCAATCTCCAAACATCAAAAATAATATTTTAAAAAACCTGGTCCTGGGGCTGGGGATTTAGCTCAGCAGCACAGTGCCTGCCTGGCAAGCGCAAGGTCATGAGTTTGATTCCTGGTACCGGGAAAACAAACAAACAAACAAAAAACCTGGTCCTTTCACAATCTGTATTTGTATTAAAACTATCAATAATGCATAAACTATGGATTATGAAAATATTTATGTTTCTTCCCTTTCCCCACATACCTAAGTTGTTTATTCTTTCTCTAAATATTCCATCATTGGGAATGTGGCTCAGTAGTAGGGTATTTGCCAAACAGGAACAAGGTTCTGAGATCTATTCTCAGCTATGCCAAGAAAAAAATGAAAACTGTATTTACGTCTTCGACCACCACTGTTGCTGCTTTTGAACTCGTTATTTTTAATACAGAAAAATATGCACAGGAAGTGCCAAGGAATATTTATATTTACTTTTCATCTAACAATGAGAAATTAAGATCTGCAAATGCTCATTAGTATTACATTATGCCCTCATTTAATCCTTATCAGCCAGTCGGGTATAACACATGGCACACCAGAAATCCTAAGAGATTAACAGGACTTCTGCAATGTCCAAGAGTCAACACCAGGTGTGGTGGCGCAAGCCTGTAATCCCAGCACTTGGGAGGCTGAGGCAGGAAGATCGTTGCAAATTTGAGACCAGCCTGGGCAACAAAGTGAGCTCAAGGCCAGTATGAACTGTATATTGAGACCCTGTCTCAAAAAGACAAAACAAAACAAAACGAAAGTCAACAACAGTGGGGCTCAGGGTGTAGCTTAGTTGTAGAGCACTTAGCAACCATGCCATGTACAGGGCCCCAGGTTTGATCCCCAGCACCAGAAAAAAAACCAATAAACCCCAAAAAACTAACAGTAGCACTACCACTCATTTTTTCATTCATTTTTCAGTATGTTGTAACTTATTACAGTTCAAGGGCATATCACATATTCAATCAACTTTTTGCTACCATTAATCAGAAATTTTTAAATAACTTATTTAAAAATATTTTAGTTAAAAAATTTTATCTTTAATTTTTCTACAGTTAATTAATAGAATAGTAGTAATGTCTCTAAATTAGAACTTAAAATGTGTGTATACATGTTTATGTATTTATTGTTGAGTATAAGATTAAACAGAATTTTAGTTAATGAGGCTATATGAACACTGCTTTGAAGACCACTAATCTAGACTATTGTAACAACTTTCCAAATGATCATCAACTCCAGTTGTTTTTTCTATACTTCATTCTCCACATTGCCATCACTTAGTGTTTTAAATACA